TTACCAAACTTTTAGTGATCGTATAAGTGAATTTTTAATGCATTGCGTTGTGAAAATGCATCCGGGACCGCGCCGTGAGAGGATCGAATAAATAACATGTAAAATCAATATATATATATATAAGAAAAACACATAAAAGATATAAAGAAAACATAAGTAATAGGTTTCCAGATTAAATACCAGTTTATTCAAATTCCTCACAATTAAAAATTAAATCTTATCCTAATCAGGGAGTCAAACTTCTTATTTGTGTTAGTTTCAATTTACTTATTTTAGACACAGGGAATTCTTCAATTTGTCATTTTTTTTTTGTTACATTTAAATTCATGATTTGCAAATCTATTACATGACTCTTTTAATTTAACGGGTACCCGTTCTATAATTTCTAAGAGGTTAAAGGAAAACATATTATTTGCAATTCACATCTGTTCTAAGGAAGATTACACAAACAACTTAAATTATTACATCCTAATTCATATAAAGAACCTTAAGGTTTGTCTCGGTAATTAAGAAGGGGAAAGGGAAACAATTGAAAGCCTGAGAATTAATTTAAGATTCGACGTTGTTTTTACATTCCAAGGAAGTCGTTGAAAACCTTACTTAAAGTTCAAACACAAAAAAATAGAACTTATCTTGTAAGGACGTCTTGAAGTGGAGGACTCGTATCCTAATAAGCGTTGACGTCGGCGGGGCTGATTTTTACGGTCACAAATGGAAGTTTCAGAGGACATCGTCCTGTCCTGGCACTATTGGCGAAACACACACGCAGGTAACTCTTTTTCATAACGACGAAGCTATTTTCACTCTGGAAAACAGAAGCAGGAGCACTGCTGCCCAGCACGGCTGTCCGCCTGGTCTTGAAAGTCTTAAGTCACTCGCCCGGGTTCAATTTCGCCTTTTAACCAGAACGCGGCAGGGGAGCATGTTTGCAGCTCCCGGCTGGAAACGTCTCTCTAGGCAACTACAGCTCGCCTTCACTCGCTCATCCCAAGAGCAAGGTCGAAGTTACAATCTTGGCCCAAAAGTAAGCAAGTCCACCCAGTAAGTGATTCCAAGAGTAAGAAGAGTAAGTGAGTAAAGTCTCTCGCCTCTTAGTCAAAACGCGGCCGGGGAGCATCTCTCTTCGTAAATTCCATCGTTTCGAAAGCTCAACCCCAGAGCAAGTTTCAAGAGTGACGTCCAAAGTAAGCTCCGCAAGCAAGTCTCGCACGAAAAGTGGTTAAAACTCGAATTTTCTTCCTCTCGTCCACAAACGCGGGCTCCCTCTATGGCTTCAATTATCGCCCCCTTAATTTTGGCAAAATTTGCGTTTTTAACCCCTGAATGCGGAAATAAGGGTGATCGCGCATGCGCGCCCTTCTTCACTTAGCCAACAACCGGACCCTCAATCGCCAAAACCTGAATGACTTACATCGAAAGTCAAGTGGCAACCTCTGACCCTTCTGTCACGTACTTCCTGTCCTAAGGTCAACTGCACAATGAAATTTCTTCTAGAACATTCTAAAGGACAAAGCGCGCGAAATCATGACTTAGCAAATTGCCTCCCTTTCCCTGCTTCTTTTCACAATGAATCAAAGCTTGTACAAAAATTGCAAATAAAAGAAAAATAAATAATATTCTTTTAAACTAAATAATATTCCCAGAAGCATCTGTTTTTCCCCAAAATTAAAGCATTAAAATAAATAATTCAGAATCAAATAAAATTAAGATTTCCATAAATCAGAAATCATTCACCTAGTTTTTAACGCGATCAGAAAATTCTCTACCAACACAACCTCCATTTTTATTCAAAATTTTTTGGAAATAAACTTTCAGTAGATTGCTCGTTTTGTCAGAGTTTTAGACAGGAGAGGGTGTCCAAGCTGTTGCTTAGTGTACTCTGTCAGCCTAAAAATAATTCTGTATTAAAACAACTTCCGCCACCATTTCAGGATCTTTATATGTTGACGATCTACAAATTAGGGCCTCAATGGGTCGTGATTCCAGTTCCACCTGAAGTAAAATTTTTAGCGGTAATTTGTTCGACAGAAAATTGACTTTCTTTTCTCATGTCCTAACATGAGAAAAAAGTATACGAAAATTTTAAATATTTTGAAGCCCTGGCGAACACCTTCTGGGTGCAGAGCATTTCTTAATGCTTCGCATTTACAGAACTCTTGTTCGCTCTAGACTAGACTACGGCTCAGCTGTTATGACCGCTCGGTCTTTCAGTGTTTCTGAAACTAGATCTTGTTCATCATCAAGCTTTGCGGATTTGTTCTCATGCTTTCAGGACATCTCCTGTCCAGAGTCTTTATGTTGACTGTTACGAACCATCAATCCGTCTGAGACGTGAGGAGTTGTCTCTTTTAAAATATTTTAATATATTGTCTCAACCTGATCATCGTTAGAAACTGTGTTTACTTGATAATATGTTTGACCTTCTATTTGACGCACGTCCATCCTGTGTGCCTTCTTTTCTTTTCAGAGTTCGCCCTCTCGTTGAAGAATTCTCTTTCTCTGATATGTCCCCACAAGCAGTACAGCATTTTGAAATCCCACCTTGGAAAAATGCACAAATCCAGGTTCTTGATATTTTTCACAGTTACGTCAAAACAACTACTAATGAGATCATTTACAGACAAGTTTTTGCTGAGCTCAGGCATAGGTACAGCGGTTATCTTACCATATATGCAGATGGATCTTAGACAACTTGTCATTTTGAGATGTCATTTATAATTGGTGACCACTTGGAAGGCAGACGTTTACACGACGCTTCCTGTCATAACCTCTGAACTGACTGCCATATATAATGCGGCTTTTGTACATCTCAACGCTGCACCATGGAAAATTCATTGTATATACGGACTCCTACAGTGCATTGAAAGCTTTAGAATCCTTTTCTAGCACTGAGAATCCTGTGATAGTGGATGTTCTCAAGTTGAATATTAAATTGACAAGTTGCGGATATGAAATTCTGTACTGCTGGGTCCCTGGACATATAGAAATAAAGGGCAATGAGCTGGCGGAAATCGCAGCGAAATCTGCTATTGAAATGTCCGACCGCCTCATCCCTTTTAGAGATATCCGTTGTGCCCTCAAAGAGAAGATCAGAAAGAAATGGCAGCAACTTTGGGACATTGAACTTCATAACAAGTTGAAAAGGGTGAAGCCTAAAATAGAGCATTGGGATACTACTGTTATTCAAGTAATTAGCTTGCTTGTTAGATATTGTTTACTTGTTCTTGTGATATGTAATTCAGTTTCCTCTAGGCTACAATTGGCTTCGAAAAGTAAAATTGTAACCCTGTAGTTCCCCTGCAGGCAACGGGGAAAGAAATTTTGGATTCGCGCAGTTGGAGTATCCCAACTAGTATTATAGCAGCAGAAGCAGTTCTTCTTTTGTATATTTAAAATAGGATTTTTTAAAATTTATTGCTTATAAATTTCAATTTTTGGTCTTTGCGAAAAATTGGTTCTAAATTTTTTCTTTATATATATACTAGCGGAAGTACCCGATACCAGTTAAGTTAGATTGAGAGTAATGTATCTAGCAACAGAGAGAACGATACCACTATAATCTTTCTCTAATAACGATGTAAAAATTACGATTCATAGTCTACATTTTTCAGTCTGATGCGATATGGAACCCACACAAAAAATTTCGATAGAAAAATGAACTAATTCTGTCTGATTATATCAACAATAATGGTACGCAATTTTTAATGATTTTCGTTTTTCTAATCAAAGGGTCGTCCATCCAATATATCATCTATATTCAATTTCAGTCAATTAAATGTGGCAAAAAATTTATCATAATTTATCAGAAATCATTAACGTGAACAAACAAACACACAAACAGTTATTTTTTTATATGTATAGATTTTGTAAAACTTTAAAATTTTTGATTAACAAACTCTACGATTTTAAAGCGAGCAGTAGCAACACTTTTCGAAATAAAGCAATTTTATCTCCAAAGCGCGAGACTGTTGCCACCTGCTGATTAAAGACGTGCGAAAAACGGGAACAGTCGAAAGGGCTTCCCACGAATTTTTGGAATCGGGAATAATGTTTGGCAATGCTATTTTTATTTCATTGTAAAACTTCGAAATTTTATGTTTACAAACCTTACTATTTGAAAGCGAGCAATGGCAATACCTGTCGAAATAAAGCATATTTTTATCTCCAATGCGCGAAATTGTTGCCACTCGGAAAAATGAGGGCGAAAATGAGCGTTTTCAGAGTTTTTAATTAATATCTCTGATTTTAGCGCTTTTTTTTTTTTTTTTTTTTTTTTTTTTGAAAACAAGTGGACGTTGATCTTTTCCAAGACCCAGAAAAAAGTTGTAGAAAGTCTGGTGGTGACGATAGCTATAGTAATGACTGTTAATAATCGCGAACAAACAGACATTTTTCTTTATATATCTATATAGACCCATTTAAGATAAAGAATAAGTGAACTAATATTATAACCTTAATTTGTGAAATTCTTTTCTTTCCTTCTTAATTCGCTTATTTCCCCTTTCTATCCTAAAAATAGTAATATACTTATAATAAATCTTTCTAAACTATTCATTTCCAAATTAATCTCTGTCATGCAACGTTTACATAATGCTCATGATACTAATTTTACTAAAGGAAAAAGTGTAACTAAAGTTAAATTTGCAAACCAAGACTTATAACTAACGAACAGAAAAAAACAGAACCATAAATTTGCTATCCTTATTCTAATTTAAATATCATAATCAATGTATTTATCGCTCACTTTCCTCTATGCATGTCTGCCGCTTCTGTTCAATTGTCAATTGCATTTCTATGAATACGTAAAATCTGTACGTGTATTGCCTTATTGTGTTAGTTTTGAACGAAATATGCTTCACTAAGCGACCTCTATGAATGATTCATCACATTATCCATTTCAAGCTACATCTACGTTTAACTTCCTACATATTTTTTTACATATATACATACACACACGTCTGTACCTTTATATGTCAGTAATGGTAATTCTAAAATCTTACCATCTCTCGCTTTGCTACTGGCAATTTGTTGAGAAGTACAAATGCTATCCAACTGACTCCCATTTGTCCGCACAAAATTAAAAAGAACACGTTAGCAGAAAATCTTGGAGGAGGATAATAAGCTTCGACAACATATTCCACAACTTTGCTATGCTCTCTCACGTTAATGACAGATATATTCCTGCACTCGGCATAGCCCCCAACACCTTGTGCCAAAGCTATCACACCGGGAATAGGTCCACTCAGTCCAGCGCCTACCATATATGATGCAATATACTGTTCCCTAAAGTTAGCGATGAAGGGCAGATACAACAGAGAAGACGTGCAGTCAACGAAAGCTAAGAAAAATGTCAGAGTGAGCAGAGCTGTGCTGTGCATCTCTCCAGCAAGGTAGGTTGTGGATTCCCAGAAGATGCTTAGTAATACACAAGCAGTTATGACGATGACCAGTGACACATGTATCATGGGTACCTCTAGGACCTGAAATCATGAAATGAGATAATATAAAAAAATTATTCATACAAATATATATATATATATATATATATATCACAGATTTTGATTTATTTGTAAGTGTAGTATTTTCTCTACTAAGTCACTATTCTCATGGTTAAAAGCGGTTTATCTCCCTGTGTAAAATGAATGCGACCTGTGTAAAATAAATGGTACGTTTGTTACGGCATTCATTTCCGACAAGCAAATACAGTTTGTTTTTATAAGTAGGCAAAAGTAATCACCTTTTGTGACCATTTTCTCCGAGCCGCACTGAAGAGAATGGGTCCCAGATTAGCTATTTGGGTGGTGATCACTATGTAAGCAGACAATTTCCATGCTTCTGGAAGTGCATTGACTAGCACCGGAAGTTCCACCCACAGTCCATTGACGGCTACCCATGAACTGACACCAAACAAGATTATTAATATGTCAACACTGACACTGCGGATAGAGACCTTCGGTTTAGCGCCCATTGGACTAACCTGTTAGAAAGCAAAACAAAGAAATATGTTAATATAGCTAAATAGTTAATAAATTTACGGTACATTTTTGTATTTTATCATGTAATAATATAAAACATTTTATGAATATTACCATTTAGCATATGTAAACAAGTGTTACAGAATTAAATAAATGGTTTAAATATTTGACAGCAATTTAGCAATATTTCGCTAAACGTCTGCCTATTGTCTGATTTAATCTAAGTCATCAGAAGATTCTAAATACGACTAGCAATTTTACGTGAAAAAGAAATCTGAAACTTTCTGAATTTCCCCGAATTCTCTTATCATCCTTTATAATTTCGCATTTGAGTTATGATATAATAACCATCTTGATTTCGCAAGGATTTCGTCCAGTTGCATCATGTGATCCAGTGCCTTTTAATAACCTGAGCCAGATGTTTTGAGCAGGCGACCGGCTAAAGGAAGTTTACAGAGCGGCATGTGCATTTCTATACTGTTACGAAAGGCGCTGTAAGATAGCTTCCCCACAAAGCAGTTTTAGGGTTGCCATAAAATGGCAAGGGAAGGCGGGGTTGCCACATTTGGCCGGAAATCGCCCATTTGGCGACATACCATGGACGGTTTGGAGAACTTCTGGAAGAATTCTTACCGGTTTAGCCCAGAAAGTTCTCGAACACCAGTCAAAAGCTATATAAACCCTGCTGGTACAGAGTTAGTTACGAGTGTGTGTGTGCCTCGTCGAGTGCGAGATAGAGTGTCTCTCATCTAGTTAGTCCGTGCAGAGACGATCGAGTTGACAGCCGGCCGTCGAGTGCCGAGTGGGTCGTCAAGTGCATTGAAAGAGTCTCTTCGTATATCGCGGTTAGTGCATCGTCGACGGAGCGTATTGAACCGGGAACGACTGAACCGAAGAGTCGAGAGCTATGCTCTGTGTGTCGTCGAGTGCATCGTGAATTGTAGCGTGGAGAATCTCGAGAGTACGTGGAGTTCCGAGAACGACAAGCAGGTCGGGAGCTGTACTCTGGTGCTTTGCAGTGAAGCCGTCTTCACCGTTATTACCTGAAAGTGTGAAGGCTGTGTCGCTGAACGTGTCAGCGTGTTTATAACAGTTCGACGACTGTAAAATTGTTTTGGATCTGTCCTGATGAATACTGGCTAATAAAGTGTGTTTCGATACTCCATCAAGCGCTATCGTCGTTATTCACTCCAAATCCACACGAACCCCGTACGAACTTGAAGGAAGAAAATAACGTAACAACCGGTGTCAGAAGATAAACGCAACAATACACTAGTGGTCTTTAACTAAAATTACATGGATCGAATTCACGATCTAAAATCTGTAAGCTCTTTTCTTAAATTATATAAAGAATATATATAAAAGAAAATCTGAAATGTTTCAGATTTAAATTACGTCCAAAGGGGCGTTTTTTTAACATTTTGTGTGTTACATTTATTTAAGTTCAACAGCAATATCGCAAAATAGTTTTAAAATGAACATATCTTTTAGAATTTCCGATACAAAAATTCACGCGCTGGAGATAAAAATGTTTTTACTACTGTACAACGTGCCTCGCTTTGAAATCCTTGACATTCTAATCAAAAATTCGTTAAAGTTTTACAAAATAGGAAATCTATAATAAAACAAAATTCCAAATTTCAAATGGTCTTCCATACCCATACTCGTAGGGGATTATGTCCTTCAAATTCGATGGTCAATGTAACCGTTGTTTTATCACAATGCGAGAAGATACATACTTTATGCAGATTTTTCATTATTTAATTTCTTCAAATATAATGCAGGACTCTAACATTTGGTGGCAACAGTTTGAAAATAAATTCGCCGTTTATAGCGATTCAACGTAAAATCGCAAAGCGAAAACAATAATCCTTCAGGGATAAATCCCCTTTGGACTAAAAATTAACAAAACAAATTTAACTAAATATTTATCAACGCATACACAAGCAATAATAATAATGACGCAAAAGAAAAAATTTCAGTTTTTATATATTTTATGTCTGAAATCTAGAGGCTGGTATCCGCAAGAAATTCTCTGCTGGTTGTATTTTGTAATTCATTATAAAAATTGGTAAATTATTTGACATAATTATTTATTTGCAAATTTAGTATTGAATAGCTAAATACTAAATTTTCAAATAAACAATTATGTCAAATAATTTTGACATAATATCATAATTCATAATTATGTCATAATGACATAATTGATGTCAAATAATTTCGACATCCTGAATTAACCACCAAATAACTTTACTTTAATTTAATCCAAAAGTGGACAAATTATGTAAACTTTCTGAGTGGAACAAAACTTGAGAATAAATAATAACAACTTAATAATACAGAAAAAAAATTAAGTGAGCTTAAGTAACAAGCGAGAGCCTAAATTTGCAGACATCATTGGGGGGGGCATTTTATTTTGGACAAAGAGACGTGAAAAATATGCAATACCCTCGCCGGGACTCAAACTACTGTCCTTCCAGTTGCTAGCCGAACGTACTTTCCAATTACGCCATGAAGGCGCACCATGTAAGAAGGAGGAAAACCTTATATTTTTAGAAAGAAAGAGAGCTTTATCAGCTTAGGTGCGGCGTGCAATACTGATTCAAACTGCCATAATAATTCAGTTCATCCAGTTAAATGTGATAGCTATAGACAAACGATGGTAACTCTCCAATCGAGAGCTCATGCGAGGGCTTTACGAGGCACAGGTAGTGCAAACCGAATTACGTTGCCAGGCATTCAGTCATCGCTACGTCACGGAAACTGGTCGAATGATTTTTTTCTATATACCGTAACTGTTGAACTTTATGTCAGTCTGGTTTCAGAACCGACCATTTACAGCGAAGCAAACACAAACTGACATTTAGTGGACGATTTCACAGAGTCTGCTGCCCTTTCAAGCATGTGCAACTTTACCTTCTTTGAATGGCTAAGGCTCAAAACCTTTTACACAAGGCTGAATGAAACTAATGTATTTTATGCCTTATGACTATAATGACGGTTAACTTATTGTATAACGCTTTCTTACGTCTTACACCAATGGCAATAATATTTTACGCATTGCGACTATGACAATAATGACAGATAGACTATTGTGTGAATGTTCCCTTACACCTTTAGCCCATCACAATAATCACAGGCAGACCATCGTTTGAACGCTCCCTTATGCTTCAAAGTATTAACTAGGATAACATTGATAGCATAGGATTAGCAAGGATAACAGTGAATGTATTTGCCAAATTTTATTTTCACTTTTCAATACATCAATTTGATGAAACTACGTACGAAGGTATCTTAAAGGCGTTAACGCACCTTATTGGTTCTCCAGCGTATAATACCAGCTAACACTAGACCACTAGTATATTGTTGGTTCTCCAGCGTAATAACAGCAAACACATGCACTTTGCGCAACTCTGAGAACGACTTACATGATGGCTTCGCGTGCTGATCTGTGTGGTTATAGCACGTGTGATTGTTTCATGTGATGAACCTAAAAATTTAATCATTTGCATAATTTGCATACATACGTCCACTATGCAATTTGCATGGTATAGCATTCGTATTTTAATCGTGAGGAATTTTATAAGTAATGTATTTATTATCACAAAATTACAATCGTTGACGGAACACAGATGCTTAAAGTATAAAAGTGTTGATACAAATGATTGAAGTAATTCAAATATCCAGAATAAGCCGTTTAATATGCAAATGTGTTCTCAATAATGAACAAGCGTTAAAAGTTAATTATATAATTCCTTATAAATAACGTATGATCATTTGGAATGCGAAAGAACAGATACTACTAAATGGCAAAAATATATTACCTGAAAAGCAAAACAGTCAGTTAAGTGCAAAGCTAATGAGTAACGTGTAAAATATTTATTTAATTATTGCTACGGAAATCATTGCTAAAATAAGAAATGAATAAAAAATGTATTTGTTGCACTCTCTTCTTAAGATACCGTTGCATGCGTACGGGTTCGTAATAAATTGAATGCACAAATCCGATATTAGGTTTATAAAATTTATTTTTATCAAAAGAAATCTTTCAGAACTTTGGAATTTTCTACAGGAATATTTGTATAAGAAGTGTTCATAGTATCACACAGTATATCACTTGAAACTATTAAGAACGTTAAACACAGGGCAATGCAAAGCGCATCTAAAGAGAAAACTAATCACGCTAAACTCGCAACAATAACAATAGCCAACAACTCAGAGTAGATGCTCTCTCTTCGGCCTTAAATACCTTTCAACCGGCCGCGAGAGATTTCTAGTACTTTCTGCTTCTCGAAATTACTGAAAAGCAATACGAGGGTGGATTTACGGTTACAGCTAATATGGTTACAGCTAATAACATTTATTCAATTTCAATTCAAATTACCGAGATACATAAGCCACATGCCTCTGTATTCTTACTTTTACGACATAGCTTTTTCTTAAAATTCGTCTTGCGCTACATTACGCAGAAAAATACAACAATTTTTATTATAATTCTACTAAAATTGTCTATCTAAATGCAAAATTCATAACAATACTTATGTACTTCCAATAATTTTGTGATGTAATATTTATAATGATTTCCCTATTGTAATTATTGAAATTTAAACTAATTTTGCTTACTAAGCTCGAAAATCTATAGAGAGGCATTTACTTTCTACAGACACAACTATTAAAAATATACTGCTGACTCTAAGCCTCACCGATAATACAGATCGCGTGCTTCGCTTACGTAAACCATCTTGGTAAATAAATATCATTACATCTTCAGAACGCCCTTTAAACTTTCGCAGCTTCTCGCATAAAATAATTCTTCAATTTTAGCTTGCTACATCACCATTTTCGTATACGTTCTTTTTGTTGTATTTCAAATTCTAACAATTTTTATTGACAGATCGTGATATCTTTTGCCTGAAATTCATTTTAAAATATGGGGTTGTAAGATTTGCCTGAAATGGAAGAGATAGCTGTAAAAGTTTTGCAGAAATATAGTACTTTGCCGCAAAATCATTAAAAGAAACAAATGCAAAGAATTTATTCCTAAAGCGATCGCCACAAAATTTCCACCAGATCAAAAATTCACTTCTAAGCAAGTTTATCGATTGAATTTTACGGGCAAATAACTAATTAAAAGATAAAATATGTATGCAATAACACGTATGTATTAAATAACTTTTTGCGCAGGTATAAATCATTATTATTTTTCTGTTAAAAGAGCCAAATTTTGCCAAATTAATTGTGCTAACATATATCAGTATCCTTTGTTATAATTGGGTAAGCAAACAAGTCGTACCTATTCATAGCAAAAATTAAGATACATATAATCATGTTACAGGCATTTGATACTGCATTCCTAGAATACAGTTTTATCTAATGCTACTCAGATATTCTAAAGAAAACTAAATACATTTGAAATATTGTATTGTATTTATCGATACCTGAATCCACGCCCTCTGTTTGTGAGATGAATCATATGCTTATCTATTTGTCTGTATCTGCGTCACAATAATCTTATATCATACAAATCAATGCAGATGTTACACAAATTTCTAAACATCAGACATCGAAATTAAAACCCTTCTGCAATAAATATATCTGTATATTTTACGGTAGTAAATGATGAATAAGACTAATATCTCGATATATTTGACTAATACATTCATGACACACTAAGCATTGACCAAATTCAGACCAAGCGCTTCATATGCGAGCCAGAGTTTATACGACGTAAAAAATTCATGTGCTTTCGAAAATTACCAAAACATTTCCAATATATCTGTCGAAGAAACTTTCCCTAAGAGGAGCTTCGCAGTTCAAATGAGCATTATTCAAGGAACAATCGTATTAGTATACATTTAGAAGCACTAAGACGTCATTAGGCGATTCGCTACAAACGACTGTTATGACAATAAGATTGCAACTTTACATACCTGAATAGAAACAAAGGGGGAATTCATGTTCTTTGCTGTGTTATGAACTATATCGTATAAATGTTACCGAGAACGTGTATAGTAATAAATAATAATAAACTGTCGTTAACAGGCGGTATTACTAATGTCGAGCGAGCACTGAATGTTGATAAGGCAGTGGCGAAAGCGATCACTTCGAGACTTTGGTCTAATAAATAAAGGAACACGATTACTCTATTCACCCTTTACCGATAACATGTAATCTTTGACGTAAAAGAATAATATATTTCTGCAAAGATGCATCGAACAGCGTGAGCTATATCGAAACTGAAACTGTGTAGCACACTTTTTACACTCATCTCTCGATTAATCGAGGTAATACGAGGGACATCCACAATTGATTCAAAATCATTGTTAATCCGACTGAAGTTAAAAAGCAGAGAGGAAGAAAGGGGAATATCCTATTATATAAAAAGAAAGTACTTACAGAACAGAAAAATAAACATCATTAATAGTAAGTTATAAATGACATTAAAGAACAATATTAGCACAGAACTTTAAAGCAAAGTTCATATTCACGTAAAAACATTTCATAAAAAAATGGTAAGAGGCGAATTAGAATTTATTCTTTTTAGCAGATATCATCCGTTATCATCATCGTTATTCCATTCAGTTTTCTTTGCCTTTTCGCATTTTCGAATTTTCCGTAGTACAGGGTGCGGCAGCGTTCATAGCGAAATTTGACTTGCGTAGTACAATGACGTACTGCATGAATGCGCGCCAGCTCGTGCCGCATTCGTGCACTAATGAGCTGCCATTTCGAGTGTGACAGAGGTATGGATCGGTGAAGTGCATAACATCATGCCTTTGCTGTTGAAAGTTATTTCAAAAATAACTACTCTGTTATTCCTACCCAGCGTCCATTTCGGCAACATTTCAACATGGGACGTCATGGGAAAGTTCCAGATGGACAGAGCATTGTGAGGTAGTTATGGGAAAGATCCAGATGAACGGACCATTGTGAGGTGGGTAAATGCATTTTGAACAACAGGTTCTGTTTACAATGGCAAACCGAGAAGTAGTGAAAGAACTGTGCGGACACCAGAAGCCGTAGAAAATGTTCGCGCTGCAATATTGCGTAGCCCAAAAAGATCTCCTTGTGGTCATTCGCAAACTTTGCATATGTTCGATCGCTCATTTAGGAGAATATCCCAGGCAATCCCGTCGGCAATGTCATACCTTTAACTATTAATTGACATAAGAGGTAATAAATAAATTACAGTTACTGTCTTATGGTGTGTTTATAATATCCTACTATGAACGCTGCCGCACCCTGTAGTTTCGAATTTTCTGTAGACTATCGACTGGACGAACCGCGTGCTATGATGTTTCAAGCCGTTTTAATGTCTAGTTTGTGAAGTCAGCGTGCATTTGCAGCTAACTTCACAAACTTCACTTGCAGCCAACTCCATCTAGGCGTGCATTTGCAGCATTTGTGAAATATTCCTCATACAAATGTTTACATTTCTGGTTATATGTATTTTTATGAAGCGTACATTCCAGAGTTACAGGTCCCGTACGTGGATACGTTTGCTATTCGTTTGGAGCTGGAACTTTGCACAGTGGTTACATTATTGAGGACAGTTGCACATTCTGGTACATGGGATGCAACTGTGGATTAGACACGGTCTTCATTTTCTTGAGTTTATACTCCGAGTTAAGCAAGGAGAGGAGGCGAAAGCAAAAAAAAAAATTAAACTGAAGTAAGAGGCAGAACAGAATTTTTACTCTACTTATCTGCTTTGCTTTACTTTTCTTAAGAGATTTTGTTCGTTTGTAAGGCTCATTTATTCAGTGTTCACATGTTTACTCTTTATTAGCACAGAATATTTTGTTGCTGTTCACCAGAGATCTCCGCAATTGTAACAATAATTTTTGCATCGTTTTGCAATAAAAACTGGATTTAACCAGAGATTGTCGCACCTCACTTAATCGGGAGTTAATTGTAGATATTTTCAAATTACTCAACGTACTTACACTGCAACTTTGAAATAGGTTCAGGTTCATCGCAATTTTGAAATAGGTTCAGGAAATAGGTGTTTCTGGCATTTCCGTGGTCGAGATTATAAAGTCATGATAGAATCATACTGTTTGTTTTTCGGAGGTGTTCTCCCTTATATGCTTGAAATATAAGCCAGTTTCTACCGGAAAGTTCTCCGGGACACAGTTCACACTCTTACTTAAGAATATGGCCGTGGCGTACTTTGGTTTTGGCAGTTCAATCCAAAATTTGATCTCGACGAATGGAATCATTGCATGAATATTTACGTTACTTTATGTTTAATGAGAATATAAACCTGATTTCCTGAAAAATTGTCGCACAAAAGCATCTTTCACTTTAGGCTGACAGTTTTCACGTGTTTTGCTGTCAGAGGTTGTGGTGTTGCTGGCCTTGATCGTATAAAGTGTCGATACTAAGAATATCGAGTACAAATTAATTTTGCGTAAATACTTAAACTAAAATTTGGTGTTTAGTACATTGCATAATCATTACTAAATAGATTAACAAGACTTACCCACTGATACATGCATGAGCCGATTAATTTCTTTTTCCAATCACATTTTTATTTCAATACACATACTTTCTGGATTAAATAAGACATATTTATCACACATATACATATACTAAAATATCATAACTTAGATACTCGCAATGCGATAACTCAAATGGAATGTCCGTGGAGTGCCGACGCGTGACTATTCGCGCAATCCTGTTCCATCGAATAATTTTGCGGTTGAAACTTGATGAATTCTATCTTCATATTATCGCGCTGTCTGGTTACACACTTATAAGCTCTTCTTTTTTCCTTTTACATTCATATGATCTTTACACACATCGCACGTGGTGACACATTGCTGGTCCAGCACATCTTGAAGTCGAACAGTTACTTATATTCTGCTTGCGCGTTTATTTTATTCACAAATTCCACACACTTGCGCGTATATTATATTATTCACAAATCAAACTTTTACTTTAAGTACTGGATTTCTTCATTCTGCTTCTTTCTCGGCAAAATTAGACAGGAACAAATGGCGACTGCTGAGTGTGTGTGGCCCGAAGGCCCACACACTCGCTAAACTCGACGTCAGGCAGCAAGAGGGGAAAAACGAAAAAGAGAGAGAGACAAACCAGTCCTTCCAGTATTTATACCTTTCGACGCACGTGCTCGCGCGTGATAACGATACAAGAATCGATGTAGCCACAATGTTCTCACACATTCCCTCCGCCGAAGAAAAAAAAATTGTCCCATCACTGGACAAATGAAATCCCTCTCTGCTGGACACACTTGAACTTTCGTCTGCATTTCACACCAATCTTTACATCATTTGCAAAGGCACTGCAGTTTATCATTTCGTCGGCACTCCATACATTTCACATTACACGCACACAGTTGAGCTTTCGTATGCACTATACACACATAATTGACATTAATTTTTCACATTGCTTGAGAAAAAAAACACAGCACTTTAAACACTTTGTGATACACATTTTTTTACATTCTTACATTAGTATTATTCTTTTACGTACTCATGCATGTCTACTCTTTCCTAAAATATCACCACAGATGCGATTCCAGGCAATGAAAATTTGGCACTTAAGACACATAATTTACAATTCACATATGATTAAATATCCAATCAATCACTTAAACTAAGAACATTTGCATTATCAATTTTGATGGAACTCCTCTTAACCATTGTTTACCTTATCTCATTCTTTACATTTTAGAATCACATTCACTAGTTTCATTACATAGCTACTTTTATCATTTGATCATATTCATTTTACATATACATTTCATATACCAATATGTCATGACATTGTTATAAGCTACAGCTACATTTGTATTAGATCCACTACTAAATTACATACCTTCAATTTGATTCAGCAGTAAGACAAGGAGATTTGAACCACACTTTTTTCTTTTTTTTTTTTGAATCTGCTAACCTAGTTAATCAATGAGACCCTGCATAGTACAATTCCAATTCTTCTGGTATATGGACCAGCCAACTCTACCAAAATCGTGCAATTAGCGCTTTATTACACTAAATTGATCCATACCACACATGATCATCATTCATTATCTATAGCTTGTACACATACTACATTCTTATCATAATCACAACTTCTTTACACTTTTTTTTTTTTTTTTGATTTGCTGATCGACAATTTACATTTGTGTTATACTCCTAATCCTCATTTTGTGTTGAATCTACTCTTGAAGGCTTTTGTAAAGACAATTTACTTACGTGAACTTTAGTGGTTTTATTCTCTAATTGTATTATATAATTATCATTTCGTAGCTTTTTAATGATCTCATATGGCCCCTTGTATTTTGGATGTAACACCCTTCTATCAGTAAATTCCTGCATAAAAACTTTATCCCCTGATTTCAATTCTGGAATTTTTCTCCCTTTCAAATATTTTTTTGCACAATTAAAGTATTCATCCTCATTTAATTTTACTTGTTGCTTATCTCTACTCAATTGTTCCTTTATTCTTTTGGAATATTCCTGAAAATCTTCTGCTAATTTAAGAGGATCATTGCTATCTATGGGAGTATTTAATGTTCTACCGAAAAATAGTTCTGCTGGTGAAAATTGAGTTACAGAATACAGTTTAAACATCAGTACTTTTTGTGGCCATTCAAATATTTTGTTTGATATTGCTGCAATTGATTCTTTCATTACCCTGTGAACTCTTTCAATCAACCCATTGGACTGTGGATAATAAATTGAACTTTTTCTGTGTTCTATTTTAAGCGATTTTTAAAAATTGAGTAAATTCTGTGGAACAAAATAGGAACCGTTGTCTGATAACAAGATTTTTGGAATGCCAAATCTGGCAAAATAATCATTTAAAGATTTTATGATGGATTGAGAAGTGCAGTTGTTTAACGGAACTGTTTCCAAATATCTGGAAATAATGATCAATGATAGTGAGTACATAAAACTTATTATCTATGGAATCTTGGCAGTTTAACCAACTATGTCTATAGCTATCATCTCTCCAAGAGCAAGATCTTTCTTAGAAATTAGACGTGGCAGTGTTGTGAGGTCTAGACTTATTTTGTAACCAATCTGAACAATTTTCTACAAAACTTTTAGTATC